TTTAGTTTTGATGCAAAAACGCATGATCGCACCGGCTCGCCTGGTGCGTTCCAGCCTTTGTTTTGTACAAGTGCTGTTTTAGGTGAGACGCGTTCAAGATTGCTAAATTCCCTTCAGCACGATTTTCCGGGTAGGAGCATAAAAACGTAAGTCCCTTCCGTAGCAGGCCTGCTCCTGCTCCCAATTCCTACCTTCAAGCAAGATCTCGGCTCCTTTCCAGTTAGCAACCTCCTCCCCTCTCCTTCGTGTCGTCCACCAACGGTCGTAAATTATTTCAACAAACTCATCCCACCCTTCGTTTAAACTTTCTCTCTCCGGCCATTCCACATTTTGATTTCTTTGAACCGTCCGCTTCTTTTAAGGTTACGATTCGGCCTTTCTGAGGACCGTAATTTATTATTCCGAGGCCTGAGGTACCACTTCTGTCCCCTTTGCCCCTTCCCCCGTCCTCTGATCTCTAACTCCTCACCAGCCCCCTCCCCCAGTTATTGTAACTTGTCCCATAATTCTGCCGAGTTTCAGTAATTGCTTGTGATTCCTTCGTTTTTGCCGCGGATTCCCTTAAGTTTCTGTATTTTCCCCTGTATTTTCAGGATCGATGCCGTCTGTGTACAATTTCAAGAAAATCACCGTCGTCCCTTCCGCTGCGGTATGTTATGCACTTTTTCTTGTTCCTACACGTCCCCTAATAGCTTCCCGAGTGTTCTTTCGAGAATTGGGCTTGTTTCATAGCTATCTTCATTCCTGAATTGATTTCCGTTGTAGTGCCTGATTGGCCTTTTTTTGCGTACCATTGATGTAAATCTCCCTACATGTTGCTTCTTATCTCCCACATACTTGAAGGCTGAAACTTCACGAAGATGTTCCCTGGCCACGTCTAATGCAAAGATTTTAAAATCACTTCCTCGCACCTTACGCACACGTCAAAGTTTAAACTGGCATCATGCTAATTCTTGGAAAGCTGAACAGGCATTATATGTTGTTGCAAAAGTGCCTATAATTTTTTTTTTCCATTTCTATTGATTAAGCTCTAAGCTGGTTTTGAGCTTATGATGATTAACTGAAAAAGCGTCAGGAAACCATTCATCGTGAGTCCCTGGATAACGTAGTCTGGGGCAGATAACCTTAACAATCCAGGCCAAGAGGTGATCGCTTTACCCTTGATTAGCGCAGTTTTTTTGCAGGAACTGAAAGAAATTGTTCTTTCGAAAACACAGCGGAAGACGCCAACGGTGATCCATCGGCATTTTGCAATCAGTCGGATTCGTGCGTTTTATTCACGCAAAATCAAATTCCTGCAACAGGTTCTCCATGATAAACTCACGCAAATTATCGAGGAATTCCCGAAAATGGAGGTTTGTTTTCCCGCGTCTTTTCCCGTAGCATATCCTCGAGTCACTTTTTTGCTGTACCTACTGACATCTTGCTTTTACTGAAGAAAATTTATCGAACGAGTTCTTCAGAAGCTGAAAATGCCTTTTTTAATATTCAATTTTTTTAAAACTAATTTTTTTAAAATCGTTTTTTTTTGAATCTAATTTCACTGTGTTTTTTTTTTTTGTTGGTTGTTGATTTAGAAAAGGAGTGAAACAGTGCGTATTTGCAGGAGGTACATCCGTTCTACGCTGACCTCATGAACATCCTCTATGACAAAGACCATTACAAGATTGCGTTGGGCCAGATGAACACCGCTCGTCATTTGATCGACGGGTAAGCCATCTTGGATGCTTTTATCTTCCCGGATTACCCCTCCCCCCTTTTCGTCCTCCCACGCTCGTTCCCCTCCCCACCCATAAACCCCCGCTTCTATTTCCAATTCCTATCTTCAAACAAGTTCCCTTCCTCCCCATCCCCCCTCTACCATTTTGCTTCGTGAAGCGTCTTATTACAATTTGACAAGGCAGTAAATTGATTCGCAACTTTCACCGGATGGCGGAGCACATCTTTCAGGATTGCCCGGGAATATGTACGTTTGATGAAGTACGGTGATTCGTTGTACCGGTGTAAAATGCTGAAGCGTGCGGCTCTGGGACGAATGGTGAAGTTGTTGCGGCGCCAGAAGTCAAGTTTTGATTACTTGGAACAAGTGCGCCAGCATCTTTCCCGTCTGCCAACCATCGATCCGAACACAAGGTGCTGAATTCTCCAGCCATCTTCAGCAATCGTTGTGCTCCCATACATTCCACTCACTGAACAATGCATTTTCCAGGACCCTGATACTGTGCGGTTTCCCGAATGTCGGCAAATCATCGCTGATGAACCTGCTCACACGTGCTGACGTCGAAGTGCAGCCGTATGCATTCACCACAAAAGCTCTCTACGTTGGACATCTCGATTACAAATATCTCCGATGGCAAGTAAGTTGCTTCATCAGATTTTTATTATTTTAGATGGGTTTTTTTGCGATCTGATTAAATTTGCCTGTTTTTCTTGGTCTGCAGTCCTCAGCGTTATTTATAGATTTATATGCTATCCGCCAGAGATTTGCTGATAGACAGAACGCGTCCCGGGCCACCGCAATCGAGCTAATGCGTAGGTCGTTTGCCCCCCCCCCCCCTCCCCCTCTC